TCAAATATAGTTAATCCAAGATCATACATGATACAATATACAATATCCATGATCATTTATGATCATATATACTTAATCCATTAGCATACATGATCAAATATACTCACCCCAAATATACTTGATCCATGATTATTCATGATCAAATATGCTTAAACTATACTTATACATATACTATACATATACTTAATCCATGATCATTCCTGATCAAATGTGCTAAAATGATCAACCATACTTAATCCATGATCGTTCATTTTTAAATATATGTGATCATACATGATCAAATATACTCAATTCATGATTATTCATGATTAAATATACTTATATCATGATCAATCATGATCAAGTACAATCAATTCAATATACTTCCTCACAATACGTTCCATCCAATCAAATCTTTCCTGATCAAATATTTCTGACCTTTGTCATATTTACTCGTTAATACAACAAAAAATGGCGTTCCAAAAATCTTTACGATAATGCATTTAAGTTCGCCCTATAAATTTTGATGCACTTTAAGTTAAGAAATTAACTCGTATTTTGAAGAGATGATTTGTAAATTCATGGGTTTCCTAGAACTCCTGAGGGAATTGAATTGACCCTACTGGGACCTTAGGGAGTACTTTGGGACTTTTGGAATTCTTCGGACTCCTGGGACTCCTGGACTTTATGAGACTACACGAACTCCTGTCACTTTTTAGACTCGTGTACTCTTAGTACTTTTGGGCTTTATTGGAATCCTTGGACTTTGTGGACTACTAAACCTAATGGGACACTCTTGGTTTCATGGGACTGTTTGACTTTAGTGATTAGTGGAATTAGAAGCGTTTTGGTACTATGGAGTACCTCTCGAGATTGCAAGGACTTTTGGAACTTTTGGGACTGTTAGGTCTTCCATGTGAATTATAGGGCTTGTGGGAAGTTTGTCTCTTCCTGGGACCCCCTGCTGTATAATAATATTTGGACGCAAAAATGAAACACGTGCATGCTCTTTTCTGTGTAAAGATACGCAAATTGCTCACGCTAGTATATTCTATATACCTATATAACCAATTTAATAGTGTACGCACATGAAAATGCGTAAACGGATTCTTCCACATCCGTAGCATGCGTAGTTTGCCACATTTTGGGTAGACCAACCATTAAAGTTTAAAACTTGAAAGGGAAATATTAACTTTTAAAGAAAATCTATCTAAAACTTGAAATATTTTTTTTTAAACTCAACCCTTAAAGGGGCTGTATGGACAGGGTGTCCCACGAAACATGACAGTTGGTAAATAGTTTTAAATGTCGTCTTCCATACACTGTATTAGATTTTAAAAGCTGTTTGCAGTTCATTTCGTGAAAGAAATCTATTGCTCAAATATATTATACTTTAAAGTTAATTTTATAATAATATGACTCCCATATAATATTTTATTATTGTCTTTGGTATTAAACAAAACAAATTTTTTCCTTAAGACATTATAAACTATTTACCAACTTTCATGTTTCGTGGGACACCCTGTATGTCAAGTTTAATTGTGACTTTTCTTTATGAAGTGACATTTCATATTCACAACCGTACCCTGAAAAGCTTTGTTTGATAAAGAAATAATGAGATATTAATTTTATCTTTACTGTTCACCATAGTTTCAGTAGAAGTAAATATTTCCATTTACTGATAGCGCCGATTGAAGGATTCATATCTCTAATTGAATAATAAGATAGATAGAAAGATAGATGTTACCACCATACTATTTCTACTGGTTCAGAATAGACAACAAAAACATGACTGAACCCTGATTGGATTAGGCGCTATGGATTCGGCATATGGGAGTGTGTAAAAGTATTCTTTTAAATTGCGATTTCTCTATAAATTTATGCTTAGAAACAATGCATATCGTCATTTACTCATTTTAACGGGCATGTCTGATTCACTACAATTCCCTTTAAATGATGAAGATATAGTCTTGCGAGTTACAAAGTATTTTGTTAACCCTTCCGCAATTGGGGGGGGGGCGGTTGTTTTTATCCCCCTCCCTGTGTTTTTTTTTCTATAGGTTGACATTAGAACGCTAAAACTTCTTAACTATTTCAGCTTTATAGTTTAAACAAATTTTGTTAAATTTTTTTTTTGATACATAAGGTAGGGTGGAGGACAGTCAAACGGCGGATGGGTGGTTAAAAAAAATCTGAAATGGTCAATAACTTTTTTATTTATTAAGCCACAGGGCTATCATTTATATACATGAAAAGCCCTTGAAAAATGGATGTAATAAAATGTGTCACATGTTGTTTTTTGTCCAAAGTAAAAAAAATATTTTTGAACATTTTCTAGAATTACTTTTAGAACTTTTTTAAAATTCTCACATGCACCCCAACCATGAAAGATAGAGGTATATTTTTTTTAAATGAGCAGGCCTTGAAAAATTGGACGAGTGTATGTTTCACTCAATTCTAAGGGCAGAATCATAAAGGGGGGTGGGTGGAAAAGACCCCCCCCCCCTCTATATTAGACAAAAATAGCCCAATTGAAATAGGGTGAAATGTGCTTGTGTACACTGCACAATTGTGTGTTTCATGTTTACGGAACTTTTTAAAATCATAACTCGAGTCACCTTTCTATTCCATAGTTTATGGATCTCCCTGTTTATATTTGTATACAGTGATAACCAGAAAACAATAGGAAGACGACATTACTGCAACACTTAAGTGTATTTGATGGTGTTACAAGGCAAATAGTTTTACCAGACAAAATTACTTTTTTTGTGAAATGGGTCTGTTTACACTGCACAATTGCTGTTTTTCATGGTTATTAAACTTTTCAAAGTTAAAACTTGATTCTAAAAGTCGTCTTCCTATTCCAGAGTTTTATGGTTATCACTGTAGATGAATAAAAGTGAAGATATGTCTTTTAGTTAAAGGCTAAGGGTTACGGGCAACAGCACAAAGATTGATGGGCATTTGCAACCGTACAAACTAAAAGCTGACAGGCACGGGCAACCGCAAAAAGTAAAGGATATCGGACACGGGCAATAACACAAAGTTAAGGCTGACAGGCCCGGGCAACACCGCGTACTTTTTGGTTTGTAAATCTTTAAATTAAATTCATGGATGAATCATTAGATTTTTGGTATTGTTGATTTCCAAATTACAATTCTGCAGATTGAGCTGACGTTAGATTACAGTGCAATGATGAGAATATTGTTGTTTTTGCAAAACAAAGATGTTCCGCGAACTAGTCTTCAAAGGTCACATATAGCTCTGTCTGGCCGGAGTCAAAGTTGAAGATATTTGATGGATTTTGGTCAGTTTATGGTGTTCCTGTATCATCAACTCTAGCAGGAGGTCAACCAAAGATACTAATTCTACAAGATCATCAACTCTAGCAGGAGGTCAACCAAAGAGAGTAATTCTACAAGATCGTCAACTCTAGCATTAGGTCAACCAAAGAGAGTAATTCTACAAGATCATCAAGGGAGTCCCTATATGACCACCCCCCGCCACAGCCTATTTTGGGTTAACCAGACGTCAGCCTGAATAGGGTTAACTTAATAAGCTATTTTCAAGCTATTGGTAAAACTATTTACTAATACTATAACAACATCGAATGCAAAATAAGGTGTCCCATGAAACATGACAGTTGGTAAATAGTTTTGAATGTCTTCTTCCATATGGTGTATTAGATGTTTAAGGTTTTTACAGTTTATTTCGTTAAAGAATTCTTTTGCTCAAATATATTTTACTTTGAAATCAATTTTACTAAATATGACTCCCATATAATATTTTTTATTATTCTCTTTGGTCTTAAATAACTTAACCCATATTATGGAAGAAGACTTCCTAAACTATTAACCAACTGTCATGTTTCGTGGGACACCCTGTATATTCATAAAAATGTGTACAAAATAGAATATGTATTGTATAGGCTTTAATAGTAATGAATGGCCATTGCTTAATATTACCCTATTTCTTAAAGATTATGAGTTTGATATTTGGATTATGTCAATTTTAACTTTATATATATTTGGATAGGGATAAGAATGAGCTAGAGTTATAATAATACTAAAACAAAAATAAAAAAATCTTTTTTAAAATTAAAAATCTATTTCTTCCTTTTATCTAAGTATGAAATTAAACCATTCTCTTGCCTTATATATTTCTTCTGAAACGTTTAAAAGGTTTAGACTGTTAATTAGTGCAGTGTTAATGGGACTATATCCACGTAATCAGTGTCATGTTTGCGTCAGTACGCTTTAAAACTCTTTATGTGAAACAATTAGGAAAATTAACCTTTTAATCTAGAAAGTGTCAGCTGTCACTTAGAAAGGAGAACCATAATTAAAAAAATAATAAATTTTTAGGTGAAAAAATAAGGATATATCATTCATCCATGACCAGACCAAGTTACTATTGTAAATTGGCCACTGCTTGTGTTAATAAATGGTCCCTTTAAACCTATTAAACTTCAAGATGCTCATATTTAATTGAGATATTTCAAAATTTGCACAATGCACATTTAAAAATCTTTATTTCCCTGAACAGCTGGAATTGCATGCACTCATCTTCAAGATGCAAGAATTGTATTTGCAAATTTGTCCTCCACCCCCCCCCCTTTGTTTACAAAGGCAACAGCAGCCACTGGCTAACTTTTTAAACAAAGCAATGAATGAAAAAAGTGTATTCATATTCCTTTCAAGTTTTCTTTCAAATTTTGGCTTTGTACAAAATTTGAAACATGCATTTAATATTGTCAATTTGTGTTATACAAAACAGAGACGTGAACTGTATGTATATAAATGTTAAACGGCAATATTGTGCAAACGTGAATAATGTAACGAAAACTGCCCCCCCCTTCCCCCTCTCGAATAACATATAGTGATAACCAGAAAACAATGGAATAGGAAGACGACATTACAGGAATACTCAAGTGTATTTGATAATGTTACAAAGCAAATAGCTTTATTATTCACTTATTAATTCAGTGAAATGAGTCTGTTTACACTTCACAATTTCTGTTTATCATGCTAATCGGATTTTTCAAAGTTGATTCTGTAAGTCGTCTTTCTCTTCCAGAGTTTTCTGGTTATCACTGTAGGTTCACGAATAATCCGTTTCTACGCAAGAGGCCGTTTTTTGTCGATACAAATAAGTGTGTCCATAAAACAAACATAAAAAAATATTACATATTTAGGGGCACCCTAGGGGAGGTGTCCACTACAACACACTGGACCCCCCCCCCCCCCTCCTGTCTGGTGAATCAGACATAGCAGCGGTCAACTGAAGAACAGGGGGGAGCATGGTAACGAATGTAAACCTGCAAGTTCAGCAGTAAGCTTTGAGCATTCATATCGTTCAAATCTCTGGAACAAGATTCATCTCTGATCAACATGATTCTTCTGCTTCATTTATTTCTGGCATCTCAGGTAAAATATAAAATATTTTCTTGGCACTTAAATTCACAACGGAACCCTATGAACCATTTACAGATAATACTAAATGAGATGTCATTATTTTCTCGCCGAAAATTGTTTATTTTTATTTGGGATTACTCCATTAAAGTGACTCTCGAATTTACGTTAAAGAGAAGATAAATTTTTTTTCAGAATTTAATACTAAAAAAATATATTTTTTGTTCCTCATTTGCCTTAAACTCCTCTGTAGTAAGAATCAAACTACATGATACGCTTAAAACCCTGGAAGAATTTTACTTGAAAGAATATTTTTTAATTGGCTCTAGGATTAACGTAGGACGGGAGACGTGGAACAAGACAAACGTGGTACAGGACAAATATAGGACAGAGACGTTCGTGTTACGAGACAAACGTAGTAAAGGACAAATATAGGACAGAGACGTTCGTGTTACGAGACAAACGTAGTACAGGATTAACATAGGACAGAGACAAGCCTCTTACGAGACAAACGTACGTAGGAAAGAGAAAAACGTAGGACAGGACAAGAGTAGGACAAACAGAGACAAACAAATTTTACTCAAAAAATAAAAGTTTGCAATAGCATTTATGAATTTATCATTTTTAGTTGATTAGTGTACAAGAAGGGTTTGTTATATTTCCTTCTCTTCTACCTGGCTTCGGTTTACCTGCTGCACCTGGTCTACTTGCTGCACCTCCTCAGGGAGGAGCATCCTGTACAGTAGCTTGTCTTAATGGTGTTTGTAAACAAACTTGCTGTATTGAGGGGAAATGTACGGACACCAACAATTTAGCAGGTAATTATTATTATTATTATTATTATTATTATTATTATTATTATTATTATTATTATTATCATTATTATTATTATTATTATTATTATTATTATTATTATTAGTATTATCATTATTATAAATTATTATTATCACTAACTCACGAAACTTATAGTATTGAACCTTTTTGATATTGATATCACATAATATTGATAATAATATCATTGTCATGCTTTTTATTATTCTCATGAATTACTATGGATTTTGTTATAAAACATCTGTTTCAGCACAACCTATCCTTACCCCAGCTCCTATTGAAGAAAAGAGTTCCAGTCCTAAACCCTCTACCCCAACTACTCCTGCTCCAACGCCTAAACCTAAACCTGGAAATGTGATCACAAGACCAAATTCAGGCAATGATTACGATTACAAATACTATTCAGAATAAACGTCTATGGCTGAACCATTTACAGGAACAAATATCGCAGCGCTGAAGATCCTGGTTCAAAAGTTTCCAGCACAAGTTAAAACAAAATGTGCAATAAAATCAGATGTTCATTTTTTTCCTTTCAAATGTTACAAAAATAATATATTTGTTTGAGTTTGTATGCATCTCTTTTGCGCAAATATTTGTTCTATGCTGCCAAAATAATAAATCTTTTAAAATGTAAATTATTTCTCTTGTTAATCACTCCAAGTGTTTGAAATGGTTATATGAGGAATATGAGGACCAGATTTAAGCAATCTTATGCGTATTTGATATTGTTAGAAAGTAACTTATTAAGTAAAATATGCATGGACTATTTAAAATTGTAACTTTCGTCTTTCTATTACAGAGTTGTATGTGTTATGTACTGCATTATGTACTGTATTATGTATAACCAGGTTCAATCTCTACTATTTTTAGATATGAGATGTTTTAAACTTTTCTTTTAAGAATGCTCTAACACCAATACATATGAAGGGATTGTCGTCTTCCACGACCAAATATGTAGGAATTTTCGTCTTCCATAAACAAATGTATAGGGATTGTCGTCTTCCATAAACAAATATGAAGGGATTGTCGTCTTCCACGACCAAATATGAAGGAATTGTCGTCTCCCAAAAACAAATATAAAGGGATTGTCGTCTTCCACGAACAAATATGAAGAGATTGTCGTCTTCCACGAACAAATATGAAGGGGATTGTCGTCTTCCACGAACAAATATGAATGGATTGTCGTCTTCATTGTGAACATTTTTTCTCTTTGTATACATTGTAAAACAAAAACAAAAAACGTAGATTTAAAAAATATATTCGTGGATTTTCTAAATTTAATAAGAATTGGATTTTGATGAAAGCTAACTTTTGTAATTTTGGGTCATGTGAGGCGAAGAAATTTATTTTTACAACTGTATGAACCAATGTCCGTATATACTTTAATATATAAAGTAAAGAGTAAATTGTAAAAAACTCATTTTTTTCGATAGATTTTCACAACTTCCGGTTAGAAAATGCACCACTGTCACCAAAAAAATGACAGATGCCACACTTCTGTATGCCAAGTCCATTAGCGTCTGATCCAATCAGGGTTCAGTCATGTGTTTGGTGTCTATTCTGAACCAATAGAAATAGTATGGCGGTAACATCTATCTTTCTATCTATCTCATTATCCAATCAAAGTTATAAATCCTTCAATCAGCGCTATCAGTAAATGGAAATATTTACTTCTACTAAAGCTATATTGGCCATAACGTCTGGAAAAGTAAACTAATGCTGCATTCGTCTAAAATTAGCATACATAGACGAAATGGGGTTGGGTCGGATGCTGGGTAAGCGCATGCCGCAATCACCATTTTCTGACGTCATTTGGGGTGTTGGAGGTAAAAACACGTGTGGATAGCTGGCATTCACTCCATTGCTGAACCAATGTCATAGCGAATACATGTATTGCATAGATTAGTTAATAATAACAGATAGAACATTAATGTCATCTTTTCAAGATTTAGGGGTTTTTCATTCACGCTAACCATGAGGCAGAAGCCCAAAGGAGTTATGCGCATATGCGGAGTAGAACAGACTTTCTCTCTGGAGCATCCGCGTGACACATTTTGGCTTCTGTCTCAGGGTTATTGTGAACGAAAAACCCCAAAATCTTGAAAAGACGACATATTTTGTTCTATCTGTTAATTAATCTATGATGCATTTTTTCAAAAATGTTTATACTGATTTCAATCAAACAAACCTTTTAATTATAAATAAAAATTGTCTTTTAACAATTGGTAAATTTAGTTAATTGAGTAATTAGTGTACCTTTTAATTGACAAAATAAGTAAAGAAAATAAAAACTTTTTTAATTGACTCTGTTATAGAAATCCGAAAGTATAGATTGAAAAATTTAAGTTTTTAAAGGGAGTGTTCGCGAAAAATGAAAGTGGGTAAAGGCTAAATGCGATAAAAAAGCGCTTTTGATCGCTACTAATCTTACTTTTATCCCTTGCGTCTATAAGAAGAAAATTGTTAAAAACGTCTAATACCGAAGAACGTAGTGTTCATGCAAATTCAGAAAGATGCAACATTCAACTCGGATCATAAACAAATCAATTTAGTTCCAAACAAATCATTCAGATATTACAAACAATGGTCATCGATTATTTTTCATCGCATTCGTAAATAGTTGATATTTCATAATATTTTGTATTTTTCATGATCTGAGAGTTACTTTTTGAAAACATGTATTCCTGTTTCGAGGATTTTTGATAATGAAGACGACATTTTCATACTTTCCAGGAATGTTCGAAAATCCAGTGCCAACAAAATTATTTTTAAAAAAAATCAAAAATATTATGAAATTTTAACTATATACGAATGCGTCGAAAAATAATCGATGACTACTGTTTGTAATATCTGAATGATTTGTTTACGATCTGAGTTGAATGTTGCATCTTTCCGAATTTGTATGGACGCTGCGTTCTTCGGTGTGAATTGTTTTTAACAATTTTCTCCTTATAGACGCGATCAAAAGCGCATTTTTATCGCAATAAGCCTATAACCTCTTTCATTCGCGAAAACTCCCTTTAATTACAAAAGCATCAATAATAAGGTAAATAAATATCATTTTTTGCTGAGTGAAAGGATAGGTTTACAGGGTTTAAAACTAACGAACGATTCATCGGTTTTTATTTTCACTTTTAAGAAAGCTAAAATATTTGGCAGCTGAATCTTTTCTTAAATATCTAAACAATCCCTTTAATTACAACTATTTTAATTTTCAAAACCTTAATGTCCTCCATAAATCATTGTNCCAGCCAAACCTTTTGTTGAGGAATAATCAATTATATTTATAAATTGTTTGTTAAATGGTTTCAACTCTCTGAACCCGGAGTTAAATAAATGAAATTTCATTATATCATGGGGCGTTTTAGGCCTGGGGCTAACACAGGGCCGGGTGGGGGGTGGGTGCTTGAAAATATATTCCTAAAAAAGGGATTTTAAAAGTATTGACAGCAAGTAGTTAAAAAATGATGTTATTGTCAACAAATTTTTAACAAAGTATTTTCAGAACAGTTTTTGTAACACCTTATATGTTCTCTACTCTGCATTTATTGCCGACTGTTCCTTTATTCCTGTCAAATTTATTTACCGATAACTGTCCCATTAAAAGTCGGCTTAATATGTCGTATCCAGCCTGTATTGTGTGTAATATTATAGTATTTACATATTTAACTGTGCATTTAGAGCGAATACACATTCACTTACTTATATGTACTATATGTGTGTGCAGATTACTATATTCAGGTATCGATTTATAAGTACATGTAATTTGTTTATATTTTTATAGATTTTTATTTCTCATTTTGTAGAAAATTTATTATATCTAAAAATAAACATTGTATGAAGAAAAGTACACAAACATTTTATAAAATTACCGGATTACAATATTATTTTTAAGAAATAACTACTTTTAACACTTTTTTTTGTTCGCAGTGCTGAAAAGTTTTTGGACTTTAATTTTCTCTTGTTCTCGAATCAAGGTTCTCGCCTTTTTAATTAGCTCGGGACAAAATATAATCTAAAAAGGCTCAAGAACCTTTTTAGCACTGCGAACCAAAAAATTATGTTATAAATACAGGGAGTTCCAAGAAACATGACAGTAGAAAATGACTTGAAGGTCGTCTTTAATGTTTTAAATAATTTATGGCATTTATTGGTAAACCAAAGTTTAGAAGTAAAATTCTAAAGATAATTTTTATTTCTATATTTGGCATTTCCAAAATGTGGTCTGCCCATTTTTGTGCTCTCAGTATTACCGGGAATATGTTCATGGCAGTATTCTCCAGATTTCGCCAAATAGACAGACCACAGTCTGGAAATCCCAGAACTAGGAGAATTTTGTGATTATTGTTTCAAGAACCATACATATGTAAAGAGGTTGACGACTGGATGTCTAAATGAAATCAGAAAGATCATAGACGACTTTTAAATTGTCTTGTAAAATTACATGCAATAGTAATGAATAAGAAAATAAGAAAATATGGTCGTCCAGTTTTCTCTTTCATTTTCAGATATGCATTTTTAACTAAAATTTAAAGCGAAAATGGCAAACCACTTTTAAATGGTAATGAGTCTTGGAAAATCTGAATGTCGTCTTCCTAAAGGAAGACGATTGTCTAAAAAAATCAAATGAAGGGAAATCTAAGTCAAACAACTTAAAAGTCAAAGTCAAAAACCTGATAGGAAGATTGCACCAGATTTGTTTGAAATGAAGAACTAGGGTTTTTAATACAATGAAACTACATCAGAGTACTTTTTCTAGCCGTTTCGTTAACGGTTTCCCTGGGGTCACGTGAGGTCCCAAAATTTGGGCCCGATCGGTTCAGCTGTGTTGATGTTGATTGGATAAAAACAAACAAACACCCACCCAGACAAACTAAATCTACATATATATATATATAGTCAACTCTATTAACAATATGGTCATAATACATTAACCCCATAATACAATCTGCATAGAAATATATCATCAGTACCATCACAAGATACTTAGCTTTAGAATAGTGTGAGGGGAACATGTGTGTGGGGGAGGGGGACGTGTGGGGGGAAATAATGCATGGGGGAATTGATGGAGAAAGGGTAGACATTGGGGAAATAGTAATAATGTTTGTTTGCTCATATGATAAAAAATGGCCTTACTGGGACTGCAGAGTACAAATTTATATGAAAACTAGTTTGATATCACAGCGTTGCCCAGGGTACTCATAGTTACTCCTGCCGTTTACCTGCGCTTGGTCGTAAATTACGATTTTAGCTCAAAAGTGGGCAGACTTAACTTAAAATCTCAAAACAAGCCAAGGAACATTTCCGTAACTCTTCCGAATTTCCCAATCAAACTTTTAGGCAACCTGGTCAAGGAGTTCCTAAGTTACGATTGGACATACAAACAAACAGACACCCAAAGGTTTTAACTTTATATATATAGATTCATAAATATCCCAATTCCTAGAACTGTGAGCACAACAAATTTGAACACAACCAGATTTTGTACATAGAATGTAAAGTCGAAATATTATTATGATATGTACATAATGTTGTCTATTTCTTGCAATTGTTTCAAACCTTAAAAATTCATTTTTATTTTTTACTTTATAAAGGTCTTTTCTAGGAAGGGTTAGGGTGTCATTTAGGGTTAAAC